ATTATATCGCTATAGCATTTTAATTTTTTACCCAGAACTCGGCAGCGGATTTATTTGTTATTATAATCGTATCACGATCTATTTATGTTTTTTTTTTTAAGCGATTTCGGTTTACTATTAACCGTTACAACTTGACGATTACTTTAAAAAGATTCAAAATAAATGGTGTGCAAAATCACTGAAAATCTCGAATCATCCGTGAACTATACGTAGTTTTCGAAAAAGCGTGTGCGTTTACCGAGGTCAGCCAAGTCAACCACTCCACCAACAATCACAAGATATGTAATGATATCATATACGCACCTTTGTATATTATACCTTTATATATTTATACATGACTACCTAGATACTGATAAACTGTTACCGTCGTGACAATTCATGGAAGTAAACAGTTGTGATGATAATAATAATAATAAACAAGTATAAATAAGCATATGCCAAGGTTAATGCTGGAATTCAGGACTACCAGTTAGTCGTGACACGGGAACCTGTTGCGGAACATAAACAATAGGTGTGTATTACGTTTCAAAGGTTAAATTAGGCGGTTTATTAGAAAAAAGATGGACCGATTTTGTTATGAACCACACGTAAATCGACTACAGGCATATCACACCTGTACATTATAGTCGATGTGAATAGCGACAGTCGAGAAGGGTTCACGCGAGAGAAGGGCGAAGGCAGCGACGGCAGTGGCAACTACGAAAATACATAATACACCCTCGAGCTTAATATGTATATTACGACGTCGTAGTTATGCACGAAAAAATGAAATAAGAAAACCACAGTGACGGAAGATAAATAATGCGCACTCAAACGTTGACACAAGATGTATCCAACAATATCCAACGCGGTGGGTGCATTTAAATATTACATTATGTACATAATAATAACGTACACCGCCGCCGCCGCCATAGAAGAAGGCTCGTAATTAAAATTGACCATAGAAGGCGCACATGTTTTTTTTTTTTACGGATTATCCATTGTACGCCGTCGGATCCACCGACTGCGCAACCGCCGCTGCCGGTGTGTCCCCCAGAGATCCGACGCAGATGGTACCGGTTTTGTAGTACTATTACTATTAAATACATTGTATATATATTTTTTTTTCTTTTTTTTTTTTTTGTTACTTCTCTAAACGATGGGTATATTATTTTTTATTTTTCATCCACTTTTTCCCGAAACGTAGCACGTGCTACACGTACGCGCGATGTTCATCTATCATTGTCGGAACGCGCATTGTGCGCGCGTAAAAGAAAATACACACACCGCTTACGTACGAATAGCGAGTGCGTTTGCTGCTGCTGCTGCTGTTGCTGCGAAAGAGAAATGATTTACATTATTACCACCGAGACGTGTGGCGAACAACGCTCAACTATAGTGTTACGCGAGTTAAGTGTATCGGCACAATGAACATAATAGAGTATTATTATTAATTTCTAGAAACTATAGTGTCAAACGGCGTGAACACAAACTAATTTACGATAGGTGAAATCGCCGATAACCATCGTACAATACGCGCGTGTGTAGTGACTGTTTTCAACCGCACTGCGGTGACCGCAATAACTGCCCCGGGATCGGATATACATCGCGACCGAGAGCGCACGCGAATCGAAAAATTATGTTCGCAATGTAAATTTAAAGGTCGACCACATACGCGATAAACAATATTATTGTAGTGATTCCGTTGAGTGGTCCGCAAAGAGTAATATGAACCGAAGAGAAAAATTATATCGTTATTTTCGTCGAAATAAACAAATAATGATTATTTAAACTTTTCCGTGATGTTATCGCGCATTCCGTCGAACTATTTATGTTATACGTTCTTAAAATTCAAAATATTTTCTTTTCGACGTTTTATACGATTACAATACACGCACAAGTTAACATATTACAAAAATATTACTACAATATAAACACTAAGCGATGCAATAAATATATATTAAATATTTAAAAATCTGGACTACAAATTATTTGAGCCGAACAAACACGATTTTGAGCTATAAACAGCTCGAAAATATTGGAAGAGGGATTAATAGTATACCGATATTTTTTTACAATAATGTTATTATTTAGGGAAACCGAGTAGAAGATATTATAGATGGGAGACTAAACCTAATCTACCCATAAAACCGAAATTAGATAAAGTTCAGTACATGAATGTTTTAAAGATTTGAATAACTAATACGACTATCGCATTAAATTATTTCGAAACGAATTCATGAGCAGTTAATGATGTATCAACGTATAAGCGTAGTGTATTATTTTCGAGTATTAGGGAACCTATTTAAATTCAAATATTCCACGGCAGAAAACGATAGATTTACCTAGAAACATGTGTAACTGAGCATGATTAAATTAATGATATTTTAACAACAGCAAGACAAATCCTCGTAAATAACTGTATTATAGGATGTAGCAGAAACGAGAAACCGCGTTAATAGCCAAAGACTATTTTTAAGGGGTTGTACACAAAAATGCAGTATTTAGTATAAAAAAATATTGAAGATAACGATTCACCGTAGGGAAAAAAAGAGACTAGAAAATATACCATACGAATATGGTGTTGGTAAAAAAAAAATAATAACACCGTTCGAACGGAGAGAAATAAAAAAAGCAGAAAAGTACAAAACATGTAGACTCTATGGACACGTTTCATTACATTTCTGAGCACACAATTTGAATAATGTTTGAAGTAACGGCACGTGTGCGCGCTGCCTTAAGAGTTTTTAACATCTGTTCACGACGAATATAATATCCTCGACCACGTATCCGTCGTACACCGCACCGAACAAGAATCACTGCAACGACCCTCTCGAACGGCGGTGGCGGTGGGAACCCAGACGTTTTGTTACACCGTGGGTGCTGCCGTCGAAGAGTTTTCTGGGGAAAAAACTGATGCACGCACGGGGGGACCAACACACAAGTTCTAAGGTCAACCAAGGTCATTAGAACAATCGTCTGTATATATTATCATTATTATCATCGTAATATACGTGCGGTCATTGTTCTGGGTGTTACAGGGTGCAACCGGTTTTTTTAGGACAGTCCGTTTTCGTATACACACACTGTACATGTACAATATTATAATATTTTAAACGCACACACAACATCACCCATGTACTATTATAAAGTCGAAGTGTAGGTATAAACTCGCGTATACTCGATGTGTACTATTCAAACCGCTTGCGCGCGTGGATGCGCTCTCGAACACCTCGGGGGCCGTACGGGCGGATCGTGATGTTTTCTCGGCGAAACGCGTACTTACGTGCAATGCCCACCAGGGACTACAATTTTAAATCGTTCTCGTACCACACGCTACACGTTTTAAACGAACGTTCATGTGAGCAGCGCATAACAATGAAAACAGACTATATACCCTTCAAAAAGTGAAGTCGTTATTGAACCAATTTTGCGATACTCAAGTACGTAAGTTGTAAGTTTCTGTGATAAGTGACGCATTTGTTTTAAGTCGTTTGATATCTCATAAACCTATTTAATGTATTTTTTAAACATTTTAAGTAAATATTCTATAGCTTAACGTTGTATTTGTCGACAGTTTTCAAAAAATAGAAAACTATATGCTACTACACACTTTCGTATTTCAACGCGCGCACTTTCGCACTACACAAAACGATGTATCGTAGCACGCACATGGTCTTTAGGTCCCGGTGTCCACTCCGTTTATCGCAATGACAACGACAACAATACAATAAAGGTGCACGTAATCGGATAATAAATCACTACGTAGTGCATCTGCACTGTACGCGCGTGCGACGACCACTACCCGACTGGGTTGAAGTCACGGCGCTGCGCAGACACTACCCCGTGGGCAGTCGTGACCCGCAAGGCGCCAAGGACCAGGTAGGACGATCACCCGTTGTCGCGGATACGAGGTTTGTCCCGTCCGTGGCGCCGGTCGCAGTTTTCCGCCACGCGCAGGCGACGGAGTGCACTTAATATAATATAATGCAACAACGCAGTGGCGTCCATGCCAGTGTACTTATACGGCGGTAATAGTGTCCGGCGTCTTCGTGCCAAATTGGCCGTAAAGACCCCGGACGCGATTATTTCTATTTTTTTTTTTTTTGCTTCTTCCTCTACACTCATTGTCGTATAATACACAGACATTGCAGCATAGCACCCGTACAGCGCAAAAACCATACTCACGTTTTATCGCCGCACATATATTGTGTACACGAATACGGTGGCCCGGCCGTGTTTTCATCGTACCTCACCCCCAGTTCGAGAACAACAAAACACCATAAATAATACAACCGCCGCCGACACGTCGGTCACCCGTCGTGCCGCAGTACCCACCCTCTTCATCGCCCAACAAACACCGTCTATCAGGAAACCTCCGGCTGCACATATTATAGCCACGCGTATTTTTTAAATCCTGACCATGACGTACGTGTGCTAACACACCCGTGCACGTCTACCCTTTTACGCACCCCGCCACCACGGTCTGCCCCGCGAAGACCTATAACGTAACGTAATGGATTGATTACGATATTTCGACGTGAAATCCAACCCCGCGTTTAAAAAACTCGCACTGTACAGTATTACGTTACTGCAGCACGAACTATTATTGCACACATACCGTGTACGTTACTTACATTTACGCAGACACCGCGGACACCATTCGATATCGGTGATAGTATTATAACGATGTAACAATCGTCAAAAGTAATCCGCGTTTCTTTTTTCAGGAAGGGTACGGTTAGTAACGTCCGGAAGCGATGCAAAATATGGCGAAAATATGCATCTTCAGAGGAATGACACCGAGAACAACGATAATCGACACGCGTACGAAAATTTAAATCAGGAAAATCGTATACCACAACTCCGGGTACTCCTTCGCGTACCAAAGTGTAGAGCTGCAACGTTAAGGGTGCATCCGTGGCTCGGATGCAAAACCATCGGAGCCAAACCGTTTCCGGCTTGCCCGAGGCTCGCGTGAATAGAGAAAGACCCTTCGAAAATCGAAAAGAAACACTCACCTGCACTGTCCGACCCATAACATGCGCGATGCGGTCACCTGTGCACCGGCATCATCCGAAGTGTTGGGCGACGCGAGGCGGTTGGCAGAAAAGCGTTTGACGTCGGACAAGACGAGTGTCGTGTTGGCGTGCGCAACAGCACTGGAGATGATGGGCACGTTGATCGATACGAATGGCGATCGAACGATTAGACGATTGACGGGGCACACGCGAAACGCGCACGATTGACCACGAACGAAAGACGGCCGCGTACAACGACTCGACGGCACCGACGTAGGATCGAGACTGGTCACGTTATTGTTACGGCAACGGTCGCGCGCGTAGTTCGGTACGCGCGCGCACGCGCGTGCGCTGCGTATAATAGTAAACACCTGCGACCACTCCCCTGCGACAACGCGGCGGCGGTGGCTGCGATGCCCCCGCGCCGAGGTTACCGCACCGGTGCACCCGGTCGTCGAAATCTCTGGAACCGGTCCACGGTGCTCGGGTACACGATTAGAACCGCGTTATCGCGCACGCGAACAGCGGTCAGCGACGGACGTTGGAAATACGTTCGCGCTCGGTTACACCGTGTAAACTGTTCGTCGTACGTCGAATGTTGCGCGTTCGCGGGAACAGAATGAATAAGCTTCACGGAAGACGGTTATTCCGTGTTGTTCTGTAAGGTAAAAAGAAAAATTCTGGTACAAGCGAGTCATGTGCGGAGGGAATTTGGAACCACAAAGAAGGTGGTCCTACAAAAAAACCCGAGAGGGAAACAAACCGTTGGAAAGATCCCGAACACGACGAGAGGATTGTGTCAAGAGGGATGTAATAGACCAGTCTTCTCGGATGAAGATTGACACGTGTTAACGCAAAATCGTGGTTTTTTGTAGACGGCTAGGTTAGCCTTATAGCTTAACCTAACCTATTATCGGAGGATGTGTGATCCAAAAAGTCGTGAAAAAAATAAAATTATAAAACCGATTTTTATTACCATATCGCCGCGGGAACAATCGTTCGTATGTTGATTTCGTCGATGCTATGATATACAATACCGTATGCTAGCTAACAAACATTTACTTTCCGTTTTTAAGGGTGGTAATCGTGCGAGGATGCCTCACGTAATATGTTTTCACGCATCTCGTTGCACTCTGTACTATCTCGATTGTCTTCAGCGGCAGATTTTTTAATATTTTACGAGAGGGTTAAAAAATGTTCTTAAAAATAAGTGATTTTATATTTTTACAAGAAAAATAATACATATAGGGTATGAATTGATAGATATATTATTCTACCATTTTATATACAAACGAAGAATTATTTACAACCACATGATATAATTAATGTTCTTTTTCTCTGTGTACCTTCGTAACAAGTAATTTATGACTTCAAGCTTTTTTCTTCTGGGGGGTAGTTTGAGACCCGAGATTCTCCTCCCTTAATATACAGCACGGATTGCCTTAAATTAATCACAGTTGATATACAATTGTGGCTATAAACATGTTTTATTGTACACGATAGGTAAAACGGTACAAGGTGTTGCTAATACGTAATATCCTCGTAAGCACTTAGAGTTTGTTCGAGACATTTTAATAATCAATGTAAATTAACATAATTTTCAAATACAAATGTTAATCACTTTTTATTGTGATACGGTTTGTATTTAATAAGCTTTTTGAACAATTTGCTTTTCCTGAAAACATTGTATCGTAATAATTAGCTGAGATTGCGATCGCTCAGTCAGTGTGTAGTATCGACACAGGGATGGTTCAAAACCATTTTTACAGATAAACACAGTGGTGTCTGCCGTGTATTTGCGGTTGATACACAAATGCACATAAGACATAACAGAACGACATCCGCACAGAATTTTGTGCGCTGCACTGCCGTATTCGTAACTTGCTCTGCCCTAGCAGATATACCTCGACTGCATAAATGCGCGTGCGTACAAGTATTTGTCTTACCGCGGAACAGTTGAACCATGCGAACCGCTGCAGCAGTAAGACTATAATTCATGGGTTCCTGAGCATGAAACAGCGTTCAAAAAATCTATACGAAAAAATCGAACGAGAAACAAAGTACGCATATTATAAATATATAAATGCATATAAATGCATTTATTTATTTTTCGGTTTACTGACCGTCGGCTTCGACACAAAAAAACGCGGTTCACGTGGTTGTAATATTATGTACACTTTGTGTGCACATTGAACGTATATGGGCGTAACTTGGAAATTTATTAGGGAGGGGGCAAATATATAATTACATATCTATAGAAAAGGGTGTCCGCGACTAAACGACGCTTTACCATCTGCATATTATCGTATAAAATTATTCATTTTTTAACATTATGTTAGAAAAGCGAAAATTGAAAATTAAGTTTTTAAAAAAAATGAATAGTAATAGCTATAACCAGCTGTTTTGTACTTATTTTAAAACAAGATATGTTACATATCAGAGGGTGCACCACCCCTCCTAATTTATTCTAGGGGGGCAATGCCCCCTTGACCCCTCAATGTACGCTTATGCAAGCGACTATTGTAATCATTATTATTTAGGTGTTAATGAATATATACATATTGGTAGATATACATAGGTATTCATCGGTGTATACGCACGCACCAATCGTCATCATCAATCATTTTCGTTTCAGTCGGATAACTTTAACGGACTATACTACTGGCAACAGTAACAGCAGCAATGCGTTCGTGCAAATGCATTTGTTTATTTTTCCATTCACGCGCGATCCCGTAACACGATAATGACCACCTAGAAAGTGCATACACAAACAAAAACACAAAAAAAGATCTCAGTACTTAGGTATATATTATTATTATTATTTTATACGTTGTATGTACACACGGATACACTACCATCAGTACATGATATTGAAAAAAGTTTTAACAAAAAAAAAAAAAAAACCGTAAATACACTCAACATGATTCGTATCGACGACGTAACTACGTATTATTTACTATGATTAAAATATCCGAGACGTTAAAACTAGTTTGTGAAACATCAAACATATATTCGTCATACGCATACGAATTGATCGTCGGGTATTACTTATAACTATATTATTATAATTCATACTGTTTCCATAACAATTAATCGCTACATATTGAAACAGTTTTGTGTTTTTGTAATTATAATGATAATTTGTATCCCGACGCATTATTATTATATGTAGGCGCCTATATAATATTTGTGTTGTGAAATCCAACCATAAATATACGAAACTTTTCGCAATTGATCTATTTCGTGTGTATATAGTTAACGTTCTGCTTACATTAAGAGATTTCATTATTATTCCCAACCTCAAAAATATATGACGTGTATTAATAATAAATCCAACGGCGCACCGGTGCGTTAAAGCATGTAAACACATTTACTCGGTCTACTGAAAATACAGTCAAATTAATAAGGTTAACCCTTGATTGAACAATAATATATGATGTAAATTTTTTGAGACGAGGTTTGACAAACTTTTGCGAGGCATACATTTTAATAAAAACTTATACAGAACGCTTATATAGATCATTGATCAAACAGAATATTTAATATATAAATAATATTGTTACGGTATCACAGTACTAATCGAAATTCAACCGCCATAGGTGATATATATTTACATAAAATGTCATAAAATTATATCATGCATAGAAGAGATAATTGTTTTTTATTATAGGTTATCTAGAGTAAGTATAATATTATAAATATATTTATTATAATTTCCGCCTATTGCGAGGTTTTTTTAACAATCTGCTTGTTTTGACCTTAATGTATAATAACAATTAATTTTTTCAAGCCTCCCAGGAAACATCATGCTGTATAACTGATTCGTTGCACTAAGTATACACATGTTCGTTTTTTTTCCTAATTTATTTTCGTTAAATAGAGCAAACTTTTGTATATATTTCATTAAGATATATCATTTTTAAAATGTTTGTTTTCATAATTTAAAGTAAGAGTATTTAATCGCTCTACATCAACTTCTAAACTAATTATTGGAATAATTTTATTATTTTGATTTTATATTTGGTTTTTCTATATGCGTTTTTAAATACTTCGTGTTATAAAAATAATTTAATACAAGAACTATAGAAATGGTATATATAAGAATATAATGTGTACACAATGAAAAACGTATAAAACACGGCCTATTGTCGTAGTTATGTTTGACGTTTAAACATTTTATTCGAGCAATATATACCTACAGCTATATTATTTTTAATCCAGTATAAAGAGTAATTTTTCCAGTTTTTTCTCGTTCACTTTTTAAAATACTAATAATGTTTTATCATTCAACCTTTTTTTATCCCAATACTTAAATATGATTATTCAACCGGTTTCGCTACAATGAGAAATCCAGGTATTTTATAAATATGGATACACGAAATGTTTTTTTTTTTTTTAAATACACGTCAACGACGACAAGCCTATATTTTTATTTCAATAACAAATTAACGAATATTTTACCCTACCACTTAGTGTGAACTCGTTTCGGGGTGAAACCTGTTAAAAAATAATTTATAATTCTTAACCAAGTATACATAATAGTTTTTTTTTAATGTTTTTATAAAATGTTCTTTGTACATTCTCGCCATGAGTAAGTTGTTCCTCTTACTATATTTGTTCAATACGACTGTTTATAAGTACCTAAGTATGCTAAATGTAAGTGCGAGAAAATTCATAACGTTATCGTAACGAATCGATCAGTTGTTTATAAGGTGGGACTAAATTTTTGCACCTCTAAGTCCCGACCGACTATCTTTACGCTACTCGACATTTTCAAGCCCAACCTACACGATCTAGTTTGAATCGGACAATTATTAGCTATTGGTTAATATCAGAACTACCCGGACCATACCAATTCAGGCTTCTCTGATACAAGTCGATAAATATATTTTCCACAGTAAGTTAGCGTTAAGTGAGTAAAAAAACTGATGGTTGTAGCTATGAGGAATTCACATACTGTTTCGCCAAGACACATCGCACTATCACCATATGGTCAGCATCTCCTTTGTGTGTGTGTGTGAGTTGATTTATATAAATATTAGTTGTCTGGACTCCAATGACACGGGTACGCGAGTTAATATTTCTTTAAATGTTTATATACAGAACCTATAATACAAGTAATTCAAGTGCAACTACAAAATTGAAACGCCCTGGGAGATTATTATCTGAATGTTGATGTTTCGCGTATGATCCCCTGCGTAGTTCAGTTTCCAATGTCCGCAAAAATATAAATAACGACGCCTCCTACATTTATTGTTTATTTTAAAATGCTGACTCCGATATAAATTATATGGCT